ATTTTCTGGTGAAGCTTCAATAAAAAAGAAACGTGTTAAATTTATAAACGTTTCCTAGGTGTTCCTTATATTATCATATATATTTAAAAATAAATAAAAAAAGGAGGCGTAGTGGATATCGACTCGGATTGAGAAGTCGGAGAGCTGAGTTCGAATTCCAGTTTCAATTCCAATTCCTCTGGCTATATGACGGTTCCGTATAGGATACAGTTTCGATTCCAGTCGGAGGACGCATATTTTCTATGAAAATTTCTCTGACATTCAGGCCGGTGAATGTTGTTAATACTGTTTATTATAAACAGAGCATTTACATAAATATTTGTTTCTATAAAAATAATGTATAAATATAAAAAAAAAATCTTAAAATAACTGTCGGACTTTGTCCATTTCATAATATATATATATATATATATATATATATATATATATGTATGATTCCATTCCTGGACGTATTAAAGCTGTATGTGAGGCTAAAGGAGGACCAACTCCATATTGAATAAATTTTCTTTGAATTTAACAAGTGTTCCAATTATTGTGTCCAACACCTGTATATATATATATATATATATATATATATATATATATATATATATATATATATATATATATATATATATATACATTCTCTCTTGTTAATGTCCGTAGATGCCCGTTACACTGTTAAATAAAAATTACAACTGAGTGGTACTTACTTTTGGTCTTTTTTTGTTACATCTAATCTACGCTTAGTGAATGAAAAAGATATATAGAGAGATGAACAGGGATATTTTCCGAAAGATACATGTCAACAGATTTCATTATCCAATGTCTCGAAACGTCACTGCAATTATTTGAACTTTGTTGGAAACAATGAGAGAAAAATGATTTGACAATTGTTTGTTTCATCTGTTTTGAGCCAGACAAACCAAGAAACCTTGATGATAGTGAAATATACCATTGACAGGTCTTGACAAAATAGAAGAGACAGCAATGAACACTGAATTTGCGAATTAACAATTAATTATAACACGTGTACTAGTTGTTTATTCAATTTAAAATTAAATTTATAATTGGGTTAAGATTCTCTGGTGTCAATAACCTTTCAGCATCTAATAGTCTTTTCCGTCCCGGCCAAATGCAACCCTTAATAATAACGATTGTTCTTCTTTTATGTACCGTGTCAGATCAGGTCAAGGGGGATCATGGTTCTTCACAACTTTCAATCCCTTGCGGACTTAGAGTTTTCTTTTTTTTCTTTTTTGCCAAGCCTCCTGACACAACGTTCCGTCCTCAGTTCAGGTTGCTGCCTTCCTCTTTCTCTCTCTCTCTCTCTCTCTCTCTCTCTCTCTACATACCCTTTGAGTGTTAAGTTTTCCAAGCAGTCCTTTCTCATTATGTAGCCAATAAATTTTAGCAATCTCTTTTCTGTTTCTGAATATATTTCCTTGTCATTTTCTTGATGACGTCCTCGTTTCTTTCTCGCTCCGTCCATTGAATTCTAAGCTTAAAGCACAAATATGCAGCATTTGATTTTGGAAACAAAAATAAAGGAAAAAAAACGGTACAATAAACGGTTTGGTTTGGTTTGTTTTGTTTTACGGCAAATCAACATCTATGGTTTATTTAATGCCGACAAAATTTTTATTGCTGGTAATATTTTTTGCAAAAATACATTGCTGCTAATGTTTCTCCCCAAGATGTATTGCTGGTAATATTTTTACCTTCAAAAATTCATTGCTGGTAATATTTTTTCCTTCAAAAATTCATTGCTGGTAATGTTGTTACATTCAAAAATTCATTGCTGGTAATATTGTTACATTCAAAAATTCATTGCTGGTAATATTTTTTCCTTCGAAAATTCATTGCTGGTAATATTTTTTCCTTCAAAAATTTATTGCTGGTAATATTTTTTCCTTCAAAAATTCATTGCTGGTAATATTTTTTCCTTCAAAAATTCATTGCTGGTAATATTTTTTGAAAAGATGTTTTGCCTGTATTAAAACCTATTTTTATGTTTTCATAGTATTTTGACCCCAGTTTAGGGGGTTAACTATTTGCCTATGGCTGGGACCCTAACAGGTGCTACCACCAAGGGTCAGGGTGAGCCTGGGAAGACTAACAATTAGGAGATGGTTCCACGGTTCTAAAAACCTCCTGATCAGATGCCTTGCTGTTGGATTTAGTTTATCCTTTTAGCTAAAACCACATTAAACGGTCTCTAAGAGACGACTTGTATTCAAAGTTGATTGCGACTCAAGTTCATTCCAGATCTCAAGTGAGAACTCATACATACAATCCATGGCTAAAGTTTTTCTTGGGAAAAATCGCTCCCACCTGTTCCGCTCCAGGAAAAAAAAATCTCTGAATCTTTCTATTATGCTTATCTTGACAAAAGTCAGATTAATCAAAAATGGAATATTTATGCTATATCTGGGCTGGAGCTGTACAATCTTCACTTTCCAACCTTGACTAAGTTTAAAATCGCTAACGCGGTCTGGTGGGGAATGATATTTTCCAGCCTACAACCTGTTTTCTGCTGGCGTATCGTCGTAGGCCTATCGCTAGTGTATTTCTATTTCAGGGCAAAGTTCTCTTCTTTAGAGACACCATCTCAGTCAAGGCCCGCCTTGGTACGCCCACAGGATTGGATCAACTTCATTCCCTTTAATAAGAAGGGCGTCCCAATCTAAAATCATTTTTCCCAAGAACCTCGACTTTATGGAACAGACTCCTGCGTAGATGCTTCCCCGAATACTACAATCTTAACCCTTTCAAGACTAGGGTCATTAATTATCTATTCTCCATATCCTCATAACCATCACGTTCTACTTCTTATGTTCCCCATCTGACGTTGATATCCGATACATTATTCAGTAACTGAATATTCTTTGGGCCTTGAATTGGGCGAACTCTGGTAAAGTAAAACTACCTAAACCCAGCCAAAATACTCACTGCTCAACTGCAACTATACTGAGGGTACCCTAGGTACGTTTCAAATACCTTTCACTCTAGGGTCCTATTTTCTTCTTTTACGTGCCGTATCCCTTCAGGACGTTGGCGATCATGGCTCTCCTTTGTAGCTCTTAATAACATTTGCATTTTTCCATCTCTCCCATATTTTCTCCACTATCCATTCGCTCAGGTAGATGAGATTCACTTGACCCCCCCACTGAGTCAGGTTATGAGACAAGGTCAGTTTTTAACGTGGGGACCCGAGTGTTTTCACTCAGATCGCTGGTCTTAGCTGGTCATAGCTTGTCTAAGTTGGTCAGAGCTGGTTTAAGCTAGTCCTAGCTAGTGTTGGCTTGTCATAGCTGGTCCAAGTTGGTCAGAGCCGGTCCAAGCTAGTCGTAGCCGTGATATCACCAGCACAGGACGGATCTCTGGGCCAGGTAAATATCATTCGCTCAGGTAGGTTGTGTGTTTCTTTCCACTGGCTCGCTTAACTTCAATCTGTCCTGTGGGTATCAAATTTTCCAAGTCCTCCTTTCTCATTATGTCCTTCAATCTGTCCTTTGAGTACCAGATTTTTCTGTTTCCTAATTATGTGTTCCATAAACCTCAACTATTACTTCCTGAAGTTAAGTATAAGTGTTTCTGCTGCTGTTGTCTCTAGAATTTTGTTGCTGTTCACATTTTCAGTCCATCGTATTCTCAGCATCCTTCTGTATAACCGGATTTCTGTTGCTTCAAGTATCTGTGAGGATTCATTGCCATATAGAGAGTTAAAGCCAGTTGTCCATCTCCAATATTGGTTGCTAACCAGAGCATGATATTCCAGCTTGTATTTAACCTATATTAATTGTATATTAATTTGTAAATTGTATATTAACCTCGTAAAAAGCAATAAAATTAATGTAACATTCAGTAAGACGATCCATTCAAACGGCAGTATCAGTTGGCATTGAAGTAGTAATAGCAGTTGTCGTAAGAGTAGTAGTTGGGTAGCAGGAATATATAGTTTCAAATATCTTCCAAGGGTATTTCTGCGAAAGCGAATATAACTAACACGAGCAGGAATTGAACACGGCACGGTGAATTCTTGTTCCGATCCGTTAGCCATAACACCACATACACACTGAAGGAAATAATGAGTACAAAACAAAAGAGATTCCAGTGTCATTATTTTTCTTTGCGTTATAATTCTTGCAATTTTTTAGTGAAAAACTTAGCGCTTCTTTCGAAACCATCTTTTCCGCATCGTACGAATTTCTTCCAGCTAATGATATCCTTCTGCTTTCCTGTGACACTTTTCCTCTCCATTTTGCTACCATAACATGTCCCCTTTTTTATGTTTCTGAGGTCAACCGAAGTTCGCTCATTCAAACATGGAGGCCATTAGTTTTGATGTCACATAATTCTGTTCTTGTGAAGCAGGGGCATTTGCAAAGAACAAGTTGCGATCATATCATAATTTAAGCTTGTTAGGTGAAGTGGCACTAAGACAGATTCAACAGTCGGTCAACGCCTCCAATTGGTTTTATTTTTATTCTATTTTTTTTTACTGAATAATTGAATGGTATCATTATCTTCCCTCATCAAAAGCTCTCATTAGATACCAGCTTCTGCAACAGAAAACTTATTTCCGACCGAGAACATGGTTTCTGGACATGTCCAGTCATTATATTCGTGCATGACAGTGGGTATAATTGGCTGGCCATGATTTGAACACTTCAAAGACATGTTCTTTTTTTTCCTCGCCATGTCGCATTTGTGTATTTATTAAAGGAATATTAGAAACAGAGAGAAAAAAGTAACCTTTTTCTTTTGTACTATTCAGTCTGCAAGGAGATATGGTCAAGAGGTTATCCCTACTGCCACTCTTATTCATTCTACAACTACTACTACTATTACTACTACTACTGTTATTACTAAGACTACTACGACGACGACAACTGCTATTACTACTTCAATGCCAACTGATGCTGCCGTTTGAAAGGATTGTCTTACTGAATGTTACATTATTTTTATTGCTTTTTACGAGTTCAAATTAATATACAATGAATAGATAGACACACAGAATGCATCTATCTATTTATCTATGTCAGCATGTTCATTATCTATTATATATCTATGCTATGTTCATTATCTATCTATCTATCTATCTATCTATCTATCTCAACATGTTCATATCTATCTATCTATCTATCTATCTATCTATCTATCTATCTATCTATCTATCTATCTATGTCAACATGTTCACTATCTATCTTTGTCAACATGTTCATATCTATCTATCTATCTATCTATCTATCTATCTATCTATCTATCTATCTATGTCAGCATGTTCACTACCTATCTATCTATGTCAACATGTTCATATCTATCTATCTATCTATCTATCTATCTATCTATCTATGTCAGCATGTTCACTACCTATCTTTGTCAACATGTTCATATCTATCTATCTATCTATTTATCTATCTATCTATCTATCTATCTATCTCAACATGTTCATATCCTTATATCTATGTCAGCATGTTTACTATCTATCTATCTATCTATCTATCTATCTATCTATCTATCTATCTATCTGTTGTGGATTCCGTGAATGGAATCCTGCACAAATAAATAAACAACGCCAGTAATTGAGATAGAAAAAATAAGTGTATTAAACGTAAGAATACAGACTTGAAGTGAAGATTAGTAGTCCAGGAATGCGGGTTAGTAGAAAGTATATGTACAAGGCTCTGTAAGTAAAGCCGTAATCATCTCTCTCTCTCTCTCTCCCCTCTCTCTCTCTCTCTCTCTCTTGACTCTTGTATAACTCTCTGAGAACACCCTGTGTCTGTCTCCGTATCTCTCAACCTGTCTCAACGTATCCCAACGTATCCCCACGTATCTCAACGTATCTCAACGTATCTCTACGTATCTCAACGTATCTCGATATTTAACAGTTTTCCCACGAGGAATGTATGTGACACAAGGCCGAGTTTAACGTGGGTTTCTCCGAGCCCGTAGGTTCGGCCAAAAATATACCCTTTGAAGTCGCATAAGCGTGTTCGGGATCTGTCTATCTGCCTGGACGAAACTTTGCCCTTCGGCAAAACCTCGTCCGGGTTCCTCTCTGCCAAAGCAGACAGTTCGACAGACGTCGGTCATAGTCAGAGACCGTATCAAGACGTATCTCAACCATAGGTATTCTCTCGGTCAGTATAAGTATACTTTGGGCGAGTCCATCTTATGTAAAAGGGGGAGAGCCCCACAACACTATCTATGTCAACATGTTCATATCTATCTATATATCTATGTCAGCATGTTCACTATCTATCTATCTATTTATCTATCTTAGCATGTCCACTATCTATCTATCTATCTTAGCATGTTCACTATCTATCTATCTATCTATCTATCTATCTATCTTAGCATGTCCACTATCTATCTTAGCATGTCCACTATCTATCTATCTTAGCATGTCCACTATCTATCTATCTATCTATCTATCTTAGCATGTCCACTATCTATCTATCTATCTATCTATCTATCTATCTATCTATCTATGTCATCATGTTCATATCTATCTGTATATATATGTCAGCATGTTTACTATCTATCTATATATCTATCTCGCGACAGGTACAATTAGAAACGGATCGACCAATCTATACTTGGAGACGAAATGTAATCATCATAAACAGAGATAAAAAGCAAACAAACTTGTATGCCACATGGTCAAACTGACACAAATTAGCTGAACCAATATCTAGATCATGTGCGAAAACTGAAAGGATCGTGAAAGTGAACTTTCTCATTATCGGTGGACTTGCGACAGTCTTGGAGAACCTAGCAAAAACTTGAAAGAATGAGAATTCAGAACCGGAATAAATATAATCCAGATGACAACAGGAAAAAAATACATATAAGGAACTAATATATCAGAGAATACTTCCATGTCGAAAGAGGACAACCATCAATATACAGACGTATCGAAGGACTAAAAATATTAAAATCTCAGAGTGAAATCTACACTGGACAAATTGAACAGAAACAAAGCAGCAGGACCAGACGGAATTTTAATAAAGATGCTGGCAACCTCCGATGGTCACGGCATTAACAAACCTACAGACGTAATAAATTAAATATTAAACAGTGGTGATAAATCAGAAGACCTAAGTGGATCCATTTTCATACCACTGTCTAAAAAGACGAGGTGCGAACGATTTTGAACTTCATTGAAGGTAAGACGGACAGCGGAAAACAACGCATAACCTATCTAGCGAGCTTGAGTAGAACAGGGTTTAGGATAAGAAAAAACAAAATTTATTAAGAGCTACAAAGTAGAGGAAATTGGGGAGAGCCATGATCATAAACGTCCTAAAGCGACACGGGACAAAAACGAACAAGGAGAAAGAGGAAAGGAAGAAGAAAAGAAAAAAGGAGGAGGAGGAGGAGAAGAAGAAGAAGAAGAAGAAGAGGAAGAATGATGATGATGATGATGATAATAATAATAATAATTTTTATGCACAATCAAGAGTGGTCTCCCCTTGTTTTGTTACTCTCCTCTTTGAGAGAGCTATTTCTGTTTACTGGGACTATAAAAGGACACTATACGCGAATCTTGTATTCTCAGTTGAATAAGGCTTTCTTAAAGCCTACACCTGCGTACCTTTGGCATTACAACAGCAACAACCCCAACAACAACAACAACAACAATAATAATAATAATAATAATAATAATAATAATAATATGCGGGATAATTAAAAGAATGCCAGAGTTTGAAAGATACTTGTTTTGCAACTACGGACGACATGATAATATAATAAAGAATCAATTGAAAAATAATTGAGGACAAGCGAAAACAGCTGGCGTAACACTATTGACTGAAAGGATTAGAAGGAAAAGACCTTAGTCAATGGAAAAAAATGAAACGAGAAAAAAAAAAGCAGTAGAAAATAATTCGCGTAAATTATTTTCATTTGAATTTTCAAACTCATAATTTTTAGAAGAGTAGAAAAGGAGGCGGATATTTCTGGGAGGCGGGGGGAGTATAAACAGATATTAAAAATGATAAGAAATGGAGAAAAAGTTAGTAGAATGTACAACAATCTGAACGTCATTATGAAAACAAACAAGCAACAAACAGACGAGAATACATAAGAGGCTAATTTATTGGGACGAGATTTTTTCAAGTACCATCATTATATTCCATCTAGCCAGCCATATTCGCCACTTAATTGTCCTGTTTAAGCGATATTTCGCAATTTTGCTTGCTCTTTCTTGAAAGTTGTTGAATTCTCAATGCTTTTTTAAAAATTATTTCTATATTTTCCAATCCTTCTTCGCTGAACTCTGCAACGGTATTTCATATAAAACAAAGTCAATGACAATTTGTCGTCATACCATACGATTTGATCAAGTGAAAGTCATTTTTTGTTACTTTCTTTGTCAATAACGAACTCTCTCACACAGCCATTGGGCGTGAAGGCAATAGCAGAACTTTCCATTGGCTTAAGTAGTTGCGACGTTTCAGCACAGATAAAAACCAGGATTCTGATTTTTTTAAGCAACCACATGCTTCCGTCTACATTTCTGTTAAGAGTTATTGTAATTATTTACACTATTTACATTGTTCGGACTGTTGTCCTCATCTTTATTGCCATATTCACCTTCAACATCTGTCTCTATTTCTGAGATGAGGTATTGTAACTATTTACACTATTTACATTGTTCGGACTGTTGTCCTCATCTTTATTGCCATATTCACCTTCAACATCTCTCTCTATTTCTGAGATGAGGTATTGTAACTATTTACACGATTTACATTGTTTGGACTGTTGTCCTCATCTTTATTGCCATATTCACCTTCAACATCTCTCTCTATTTCTGAGATGAGGTATTGTAACTATTACACTATTTACATTGTTTGGACTGTTGTCCCCATCTTTATTGCCATATTCACCTTCAACATCTGTCTCTATTTCTGAGATGAGGTATTTTAACTATTTACACTATTTACATTGTTTGGACTAACCTCATCTTTATTGCCATATTCACCTTCAACATTGTGAGGTCTATTTACACTATTTACATTGTTCGGACTGTTGTCCTCATCTTTGTCATATTTACAGCGTTGCAGCCGTTGTACGCCCTGGCCTTCTTTAGGTGATTAGAATTCTCGAAATGAACCGTTTACCTCGTCTTTATGTATTGTTCTTGTTCTTTAGCGGATGTTTTAGTATAAGTTATCTCCCTTTAACTCAACTCCCCAAGTTTTTGTTCACCCCTGCTGGAGCCAGAACTTGTACTCACAACGCTTTGGGTCATGTCACTGTATTCAACCACTGGGCCATGGGTCCTTAAGGTTCAGTTCGAAATTCCAATCACCTGAAGAACGCCGGAGCGTACAACGAAACGTTGTGAATATGGCAACTTATTTCTCTTTTTTTTTTCTTTTCTCTTTACTACTTCCACTTTCTTTCTTTCTCGATTTTTTGATTTTCTTCCTATCTCGCTGTTGCATTTCTTTTTCACTTTCCCAACTTTCTTTTTTTTTTTCTTTCTTTCTCTCTTAAATATTGCCAGTCGATAGGTCAATATAATTTCAAGTTCTTGCGCAAGATCAAAACTTGTTTAGGTTGGGGTACACTATTTACCCTAATATTTCTTGTTTTTGTTTTTTTCTTCAGCACATTTCATTCATTTTTTTTCCCTATTTTTCTTTTTTCTTTCATCCTTTTTCTCTCTCTTTTCTAGTAATGGTTCTTTGAAAGGTCAAAACAATTTGAACTCGTGGCGCCGATCCAAAACTATATTTTCGGTGGGGGGGGGTAGGCCACTTGTCGTATCTTCATCCATCCGTCCGCCTTTCCTTCCTTCCTTCCTTACTTCTGTCCGTCCTTTTCTCCTCCTCATACCTGCTGAAAGATCAACGCAATCTCAATTTTTACTACAACGTCAAACTCCTTTTTTTGGGGTGGGGAGAGATTTTAGGCTATACCAATAAATGTCTTTCTTTTTCTCCATGAGTCTGCTGAAAGTCGCAAAGAACGACAATCTTTGGCGCAAATTCAAATCAATATTTTAGGGCGATTTTATGCGCCTTCATTCTCATTCTTTCTTTCTTTCTTTTTTCTTTTTTCTTCCTTTCTTTCTTTTTTCTTTTTTCTTCCTTTCTTTCTTTCTTTCCTTCTTTCTTTCTTTTTTCTTTTTTCTTCCTTTCTTTCTTTTTTTCTTTTTTCTTCCTTTCTTTCTTTCTTTCTTTCTTTCTTTATTTATTTTTTCTTTTTTCTTCCTTTCATTCTTTCTTTCTTTCCTTCTTTCTTTCTTTTTTCTTTTTTCTTCCTTTCTTTCTTTCTTTCTTTCTTTTTTCTTCCTTCCTTTCTTTCTTTCTTTATTTTTTCTTTTTTCTTCCTTTCTTTCTTTCTTTCTTTCTTTCCTTCTTTCTTTCTTTTTTCCGTTTTTCTTCCTTTCTTTCTTTCTTTCTTTCTTTGTTTGTTTCTTTCTTTCTACATCTCAGGCCAGCTGAAATATTTATGCAATTTTAATTTTTGATTCAACGACGAAATTCTTTTTAAAATGGAGTCATAAGGCGATTTGCCTCTAATTCTATTTCTTTCAGTCTTTTTTTTTTTTACTTTTCTACCCCCCCCCCCGGCCGACTGAAAAGTTAAAATAATGTCAGCTTTTTGGCGGCAAGTCAAAACTGTGATGGGTGATTTTAACCTGCCTATATTATTATTTCTTCCTTTATCGTCTCCTTCCTTTTTTAATGTTTTCTTTCTTTCTTTCTCTCTTTCTTTCTTCTATTCGGTCGTCCGTTGTTTATGATTACTTTTCTTGGCCGTATTTCTTTCTTTCTTTCTTTCTTTCTTTCTTTCTTTCTTTCTTTGTGGTTCCTTCTCTTTACCTCATTCGTTTTTCTTTCTTTGTTTTTTTCCTATCTATCTATCTATCTATCTATCTATCTATCTATCTATCTATCTAATTTCCCCTTCCTATTTAGCGTTATCTTTCTTTGTTCCTCTGTTTCTTTCTTTTTTCGATCGTTGTTTGTTTGTGCTTACTTCTCTTTTCCGTATTTGTCTTTTTCTCCCTTTCTTTATTTCTTTATTTATTTCTTTCTTTTTATGTGTTTCCTGCTCTTTACCGCAATTCTTTTCTCTTTCTTTGTTTTTTTTCCCTTTTTATCTATCTATCTATCTATCTATCTATCTATCTATCTATCTATCTATCTATCTATCTATCTCTATTTTCAGAGCCTGTTGAAAGGTCAAAACAATTTTAATTTTCGGCGCAAAGCCAAAACACATTTTTCCACAATTGCCAGCATATATGTTCAGAGGCAAAAGTAAGTAAAATGAATTAAAAAGAAATTCTTTCTCTTTTATTATCCTTCAAAAAGTTGAATGATGGGTTTCCGGACACTTCAATTGGGTTCAATTAGAACGAAGACACTTTATTCTTTTATAGCAGGATAAAAAATCTCTGCCTTTTCATCTTCGCTTATTTTCCGTCTTTTAGTTATTCTGACTTTCTTGTGCTTATTACCTACATTACAGCCATTATCATCTTCTCTTTCCAATGTTTTTCCCCTTCGATTTTCAACATTTACTGTCTTCCCTTTCTTTTCTACTTTTCTTCTGTCCGATCATTTTCAATTTTATTTTGCTTCATTTTCTTCGTTTTTCGGTTCTGTATATTCGCCGACTTTATATTTTCTCTTTAAGCATTGTTTCTATTGTTTTCTTTTATTATTTCAATTATTAACAATAATGTCTGCCGCCTTCTACTTATGCATTGTAACACTATTTTTCTTTATTGCTTCTGTTTTTAGTTCCAGTAAATATCTGTTTTTTTTTTTTATAAAACTTTCAACACAATTTTCATTAGTGTGCTTCTTACTCTCTTCCCAGTTTAATTCCTTTTTTATTTTCAATTTTTCGATTAACCTTTCAAACAATGCATTTTCTTTCATTCGCGTTTTTCCTTAATTTTCCGAATGTCGTTCAGCAACACGTATCGCCTTTCTCTTTTTCCTTTATAATTATATTCGATATTTCTTTATCTCTTATGAGATTATTCATTTTTTACATTTTTGTTATTTGGAATTTTATTCTACGATTTTTTATTGTTTTTCTCAACTCAGCCGAAGTATTTTTCTTCATAATTTTCTTGTTGAATAGATTACGTGTTTCAACTTTTAACTTCAACATATTCTGTTATTGTTTTTCTTGTTGTCTGAAAACTTACAATGATTCCATATATATATATATATATATATATATATATATATATATATATATATATATATATATATATATATATATATATATATATATACGGATGTAACAGCAAAATTGTCCAAATCGTGTAACAGCATGGAATAATGATCCATCCCACAAAATCTTTAATACCCTAGTTTTTCAGATGACGTTTAGCCAATTTAACTCCATTTGTCATAAGAATCACTAAAAAAAAACTTTTCAGTTATTCATTTATAAATAGAACAGGTTAAAATCGTTTTGTGTCAATCCAACTATGTCTTCTCAACTGAGCAATGGTGAGAGGAAAATCTTTTTACAAGCCTTCAGTAATGGTAATAATATTCATACTCTGGCTTCCATCTTCAAAGTCCATTCAAGAACCATCAAGCGAACGGTGAATAAGTTTAAAAAGAGGGATCAGTAGAGGGAAGAACTGGGTCAGGAGATCATAATATGAAGAGGTAGCATCATTTCAAATAAAGAGATCAATTAGAAAATATCCAACTCAATCCATAAGACGTTTGGCACATGAGAGAGTAGTTTCAGTTATGACAGTTCAAAGAGCAGTGAAAAAGACTTGAAAATTAAATCGTGCATGAAACGTGTGAAGCAACATATTCCTGCAGGACAGAAAGTTAGAGGGATAGATAGGGCGAAGATCATCTTGAATCCGTTGGAAAAAGATCCTAGAATAATAATAATAATATATATATATATATATATATATATATATATATATATATATATATATATATATTTTGAACTCTATTTCAATCCTTCATGGGCTTGCGATCCTTAGCTATCTTTTATTAATGATGAAAATGTCATTTTCGTTTATGATCGATTTCATCACGATTCTTCTGTTAAGCTTGAAGAGTAATTATACATCCTTATTGCTCAAAGAGAATTCCAGTAAGATATCTTTAATCATTTCTAAGATACAACGGTTCAGAGCTTAATCTAGCAATTAAACAATTTTCTGTTGCACCATGTCGACAAATTTGCTGTTACACCTTGTATATAATAATAGCTGACCACTCGTATTCAAGAATACCTGTCTACTAGAGCGGCTAGCCAATCCCTATTGCAGACGCTCGCTCAGACATATTTGTGTTTGTTCAGCACCCACAGAGCCAACCTGTGGTTTTTACTGCAACCATGCTGAACAGACCCTAGTTACAGTTTCTGGGAGAGAGCGTCTTATCTACAGTGATCAACAATCTGAACAACGTCAACACACCTTGGTGACGATGAGTATTGACTTCGTGCTAGCACATCTATGGACGGCCCCAAGTGTTCCTTCTACCCAATTTCACTCGCAAGGCTTGTGTCAACCCGTAGTATAGTTTTTCAGGCACTTTCCAAAAGTGCCGCACGCCGCTGGGATCGTCCCCCTCCGGACCGATAGCGTTAGGAAATCTCCTTCCTAACAAATCATACATCCGGTATATATATATATATATATATATATATATATATATATATATATATATAGGTAACTATACTCATTTCGAAAAACCCTCGAATTTTTGATTTGCCAATAATCAAATCAATCTCGAAGGAAAAAAAGGTTTTAAAAAAAGAAAGAGCTACAAACATGAAAATCTGTTGAAAAAAATCGTACAGATGCAGGTTTAAAGCCCAAAGAAAAAACCCCGACACGAGTAAACAACTAACTAAAAAAAGCTCAATACAACCGTAGAGCAGACCTATATATAAAAGTGATCATTGACGTCAACACTTAGAGGCGACAGTCTGTTTCATGATAGATGCAATCGTCAGGCCACTTTTATATTTACACACGCTCTATCTCTGATAACATAAATATAGCACACCTTAAGACTATATTTATATAGTTTGTAAATTCCAACTATGATAAAGTTGGCAATCAAAAGTGCTCAATACATTGCAGATAAAACGTAAAAGAAAAGAATAAAAATTAAAACAGAGACAACTAAAGTTTCTCTCTCAAAAGTGAAGAATCGTCAGGACAGGTACTAGCATTTCAACAGAACGTTTTAACCAAGTCGTTCTCTACCATTTTTACCCATGAACCCCTTTTACACTTAAGTTTTTTTAGTGGAATCCCGTAACCGTTTGATGAAAAAAAAGTTTATTTTATTTTTTACTAATGCATAAATTTAGGAATCTTCATATAATTTTCCTTTATATATATATTATCGTATCTTTACATATCCTTCTCAGTTTTCATTCAACTTTTACAATCAAAACAACCTGTAGAGTAAGAGGGACGTTAACTTACTGTTGTGGTAGGATCCACCTAATTTGCATAGTGGAGTACAGACCATATAAATATGGTTGGTACCGGGAAGAGAGGGGGGAATCAAGAGATTCAACCAGAGACTCTGCCCGACTGCGACTCAGTCAACACATTCTCCAGTAACGGTCTTACCAGGAATATACAAAAGACTATATGTAAATATTGTGTACACTTTCTTGTTTCAATACATTTTGTTCTAAGTACATTTTGTGTTGCATTATTA